AGATTATGAACACCTTTCAATACAATGGGGTGTCACACGATGCAGTGCAATTAAGGGCATTCCCCTTTTCACTTAAAGATGATCCTAAGGAGTGGCTTCGGAGTTTGCCTAGTGGAACGATCAGAACTTGGGAGGAGATGACCAGAAAATTCCTTGATAAATATTTCTCCTCGGCTAAGACGACCAAGATTAGAAGAGAAATCCATAACTTCATCGTGTGACACCCCAATTAGAAGAGACTACAACTGGTTTTGAAGCATGGGAGAGGTTTAAGGAGATAGTTAGAAAGTGTCAGCATAGCGGAATTGAACTCTGGATGCAACTCCAGGATTTTTGGGAAGGATTGACACCGGCCTCACGTAGAACATTGAGCAATGAAGTTGGAGGCCCTTTGATGAATAAGACTGATGTTCGGCCAAAATGCTATTCCTCTAGCACATTACTCGCCCTATATTATGTTGGTTTAGTTATTTATGGTGTGACATTTGAGCTAAATTGTGTTGTTTTATGTGTAGGAACATCGAAATAAATAGTCGAATGAAAGTTGCACAAAAGAGGACAAAAATGCAAGAAAAGAGCGCAAAAGCATCAGGTATCCAAACCGTGCTACAGACCAGGCTTCGCAATGTCTATAGCCAGGTTGACCGTGCTATAGACCAGGCTTCGCGAGGTCTATAGCCAGGTTGACCACGCTATAGACCGGGCTTCGCGAGGTCTATAGCCAGGTTGACCACGCTATAGACCGGGCTTCGCGAGGTCTATAGCTAGATGATTAAAAGTCGCGGGTTAAAAGACTCTTACCCGAATTTGGACTGGGGAATTTCGTCCCTAACATATAAATACTTCCCAAATGAGTTAATCTTGGGTTCAACACTATTTTTGGAGAAGAAAAGACTGCAGAGAACGGTGGAGAAAGAATCAACCGACAACTCCCTCTGTTTATCTCTATACTTTGTAGTTTAATGTCTTTAAACTTCATGATGATTGTTGATATATTTATGAGTAGCTAAACTTTCTAATCTAGGGTTTGATGGAACCTATTTGAGGATGATTTTCTACTATGTTTAATATAGATTTGCCTTTGATTTTTCTCTACTTGTTCAACTACGTTTATATTGTGATTGATTCAAGAGCTCTCAATCGACTATGCCTATTTAGTGTGTATTGTTTAGGAAAGGGTACATATTTAGGTAGTTGTTGAATAACATCACTCCTAACATATGTGAGGAATCAATATGGAGGGTTTAAAATTGGGATTAGGAATAATGAAACCTTGGTATGATCCTAGTGAGCGGTGAATTAGAGCCAGCTAGTGTAGTTCAGAAGAATAAGTCTAGTAAATTGTGGTACTTACTCATAAGAGAATTACGACACCCAAAGTACTCACGATCGGTGGAGAATACTTAGGCAAATTTATAGGAAACGTAGCGGGGAGAATTCCAACAATAGGGGAAATCATAACCCTAGACTTTTCCAAATCTTTTCCACAACATTTCCTTTGTTATTTATAAATTACTGCATTTTAATTACTTTGCTCTTAGTTGGCAAACATTCAAAAAGTTATTCAACATTTCTTGTGAAATTAGTGATTGTAATTAGTATGTTAATTCCCTGTGGGATTCGACTTCGGACTTGTAAACCGGATTATATTTCCAATGACTGCTAGACCTCTTAGGAGGCATAGTTGGGCGTGATCAAATTTTGATGTCGATGTCGGAGAATTAATGGTATTATTAATTACTGCCAAAAGAATTGTTAAAATTCATAGTTTATTTAGCTTTCTCGACTTGAAATTCATTATATTGAAACTCTAACGTTAGTAGTCTTGTGTGTTACAGGTGCATGCCTAGAAACTCCTCAAGAACTGATGAATTGTACGAAGCATTACCGAATCCTGAGAAAGCTTTCAAGGAACTAAATCGAGCAAAAAAGAAAGACAAACGACAACAAAAATCAACGGAATGAATCGAACTAGTCATGGGTGACATAATAAACAACCAAAACAATGTGAATGACCCGAACAATCAGGGTGTGGCACCTCTTGTGCCAGAAGCGGCCTTGTATGATTGGGCACAACCCACTGCTGAAAATCTTGCAACCGCAATTACAGTCCCTCAAATACAAGTGGAGTCATTTCAAATCACAAACAACATGCTACATCTCTACCCACCAATAAAACTGCCAAGCAAGTTGATGAGATATTGAGCTTCAGGCAGAAACCAGCTGAAACACTACAAAAATGTGGGAGAGGTTCAAAGGGATGCTAGCTAAGTGTCCACATCATAGAATTCCATATTAGATGTTGGGACAAAGGTTTTACATGGGATTGGCTGATAGCTTGAAGGCCAACGTTGATGCTTCAGCAGGTGGAGCATTTTTGAGCAAATATTTAGAGAGTGTAAGGTCCTGCTAGATAAAATGGCTCAAAACTCAAGATGGATGACAAGAGACACTACAATCACCCTTGTAGTTCACTCAGCAGCTTTGGACCCAAACAACTCCATAGCAGAGAATATGGCCACACTGATGACGCAAATAAGTATCCTCACCAAGAAGATTGATGAATCAGGCCAGAAGCAGGTACACATAGTTGACACCACTAATGGGGGCTTATGTACACCATGCATTAACTAACCATATATGTGTTCGTGGAGTGGTGAACATGAAAGTGACAATCAAAGCTACCAAGAGAATATGAACTATGTGGGCAATTATGGAGGCCAGAGGCAAGGTGGTCAAAATTGAGGGCAGCAAAATCAGCAGTATAGACCAGCACAACAGCAATATAATAACAACTACAATCCTGGAGTTATGCGGCCACAGGGTCAAGTCGTACCTTACTAAAGGCAACAGGGATACAATCAGCAAAATTGGCAGTTGGCTTATCAACTGCCTCAACAACAACAAATAATGAAACAAGATGATGGGTTGTTTGAAATTAAAGGAATGTTACAACAACTGATTGGGTCCAATGGAAAAATGCAAGAGAAGGTGGAAGCACATGACTCAGCTATTAAAGGCATTGAGATTCAATTAGGGCAAATATCTATGGCTCTGAACAATCATACCCAAGGGACTTTACCTGCAGACACACATGTCAATCCCAAAGGGCAAGGCCCGAAACAGCTGATGGCTGTGAGTCTCAGAAATGGTAGAGATCTTGATTTAGAGCAAGAAATTGCTTGCGAAAGTCGACCAACTGAGATACTTGTGCCAGTACCAATTGAAGTAGATGAGTCAATTGAATTAACAGAAGTACGAATCCAGCCAGCCCAGGAGGAAATAAATAAGGAAAAAGAGGTTGCAAAGGAAACTCAAAAAGTGCAAGAGGAGGCTGTAGAAAAAGTGCCTGAGCAGAATCGAACTCAAGTCACAGGAAAGAAGTGACCGCCAGCACCCTTCTCGCAGAGGTTGGCCAAATATCAGAAGGATGAGAAGTATAAGAAATTCATGGAAATGCTGAAGCAGATTCAATTAAACATTCCACTGATTGATGCCTTGAGAGAGATGCCTGGTTATGAAAAATGATGAAGGACTTGATGTCTTACAAGTTTGAATTTCAATACTTGGAAATTATTACACTAACTCAGACATGTAGTGTTTTCGTGATGAGACCATAGCTGAGAAGCTAGCCGACCTAGGGAGTTTCACAATCCCATACACAATAGGCAGCTATGCTTTTGCTAAAGCATTATGTGATTTGGGGGCAAGCATAAACTTGATGCCCTTAGCTATCTATAAAAGGTTAGGAATTGGAAGAGCAAGACCCGTATCAATGTTACTACAGCTAGCCAACTGAACGGTGAAAAGACCATCAGGTATACTTGATGATGTACTTGTGCAGGTTGGAATGTTCGTGTTTCTGGCATATTTTGTCATTTTGGACTGCCGGGTTGACGAGGAGATTCCCATAATTTTGGGAAGGCCATTCTTGGCCACTGGGAGAGCTATAATTCATTGTGAAACTAGGGAGCTAACTATGAGATTAAATGATGAAGAGATAACGTTCAATGTGCAGAAGTCTATGCGACGACCAAGTGAGTTTGCTAACAGCTCTCTAATAGAAGTTGTGGATGTGATTTTGGAGGAGGAAGGTGAGGCACTGAATGCAAAAGACCCCCTAGCAGTCTGCCTGATGAACCTAGAAGAGGTAGATGGTGAGAACTTGGCGGAGTGGGTATTGGCCCTTGAAGGCCAAGGGTACTAGAAAAGAGAGCTCGAATTCGACACTTTACACTTAGAATAAAGAAAGACCCCTCTAGCTAAGCCATCAATCAAAGAGCCACCAAGTTGGAGCTGAAACCCTTTCCATCCCACCTCAGGTATGCTTTCTTGGGACCTAGTTTGACATTGCCTGTTATTATCTTATCCGATTTGTTAGATGTGCAGGTAGAACTAATTTGCAGATTCTAAAGGAGTGTAAGATTGCAATTGGATGGACCATTGTAGATATAAATGGCATCAGTCCAACGTCTTGTATGCATAAGATTCTACTGGAAGATGGACACAAACCTTCCAGAGAACATCAAAGAAGTCTGAATCTCAACATGAAAGAAGTGGTGAAGAAAGAAGTGATCAATTGGTTAGATGCGGGAATCATCTTTCCCATCTCTCACTGCAACTGGGTCAGCCTAGTTCAGTGTGTTCCAAAGAAGGGTGGAATGACTGTAGTGCAAAATGAGAACAACGAGTTGATCTCAACAAGAACAGTCACAGGATGGCGAATTTGTATGGATTACAGAAGATTGAACAAGGCCACCCGAAAAGACCATTTTCCGCTGCCATTCATTGATCAGATGCTAGATAGATTGGTGTGTAGGTCCCACTTTTGCTTTCTAGATGGATACTTGAGGTATAACCATATCTCTATTTCTCTCGAGGATAGAGAGAAAACGTCGTTCAGCTTTCTGTAGGGCATGTATGCCCTTCGGAGAATGTGGTTTGGCGTATGCAATGCACCCGCCACATTCCAAAGGTGCATGATGGCTATCTTCATAGATATGGTAAAGGACATAATGGAGGTTTTCATGGATGATTTCTCAATGGTGGTGAACTCATTTGATGAGTGCCTTATGAACTTGAAAAGAGTATTGAAGAAGTGTATGGAGACTAATCTGGTACTGAATGGGAGAAGTGCCATTTCATGGTACAGGAAGGTATAGTCTTGTGACATCTAGTGTCAAGTAAGGGCATTGAAGTGGACCGTGCTAAGGTTGATATAATTGAGAAGTTACATCCACCCACTTCTGTCAAGGCCATAAGAAGTTTCCTTGGTCACGCCGGTTTCTATAGGCGGGTTATAAAAGAGTTTTCCAAAATTGCTAACCCTTTGTGTAAATTGCTTGAAAAAGATCACCCCTTTGTGTTTTCTGATGAATACAGGGTAGCGTTTGAAGAGTTGAAGAAGAGGCTGGTGACTTCCCCAATCATAGTGGCACCCGATTGGGCACAACTTTTTGAGCTGATGTGTGATGCAAGCAACTATGTTGTGGGAGCGGTTCTTGGGCAGAGAAAAGATAAAGCCATGCACCCAATCTACTATGCAAGTAGAACCTTGAGTGGTGCTCAACTTAATTACAGAGTGACAGAGAAAGATATGCTAGCAGTGGTGTTCGCATTTGATAAATTCAGGTCATATCTGATAGGCTCGAAGGTAATTGTTTATACTAACCATGCTGCTTTCAGGTACCTAATTGAGAAGAAGGAGTCAAAGTCGTGCCTGATTCGATGGGTGCTACTACTTCAAGAGTTCGACTAGGAGATCCATGACCAAAAAAGGACGGAAAACCAAGTTGCTAATCATTTGTCCAAGCTTGAAGAAGTTGAGAAGAGGGTTAAGGTGGAAGAGATCGGGGATACTTTCCCAGATGAACAAATTTTATCCACGAGCCTTGAGGTAGCGCCCTGGTATACAAATATTACAAACTACCTAGCGAGCGGTATTGTTCCCTATGACTCGTCCTCTGTGCAGAAAAAGAGATTCTTTCCTGATTGTCGCATGTATTTGTGGGATGAACCATATTTGTTTAGGATTTTTATTGATAACATGATCCGGAGATGTATTCCCGAGATAGACCAAGCTTCTGTATTGTAGACATGTCATGCTTCGCCTTATGGAGACTATTTTGGAGGAGTAAGGATAGCTGCTAAAGTGATGAAGTCAGGCTTTTATTGGCCAACGTTGTTTAAAGATGAAAACTTTTGGGTGAAAAGCTCTGATGAGTGCCAACGGACGGGGAACATCTCCCATCGACATGAGATTCCCATGAACCCAATTCAAGAGGTGGAAGTATTTGATGTATGGAGAATCGATTTTATAGGACCATTTGTCAGCTCATATAGCAACAAGTACATACTGGTAGTTGTGGACTATGTCTCGAAATGGGTAGAAGTCTGGCACTCCCAACAAATGATGCGAAGGGAGTTATTGGTTTTCTGAAAAAAAATATCTTCACCCGATTTGGTACTCCAAGAGCGATCATCAGTGATTGAGGCACCCACTTGTGCAACCGTGTCTTTACAAAGTTATTGGGAAAATATGGTGTTCGCCATAAGGTTGCCACTTTGTATCACCCACAAACAAGTGAGCAAGTGGAGGTGTCGAACAGAGAAATCAAGAGTGTTTTGACCAAAACTGTAAATGCTACTCGGATTGATTGGGCGAAAATATTGGATGATGCGTTGTGGGGATACCCCATGGAATTCAACACTTTTATTGGTATGTCACCGTACAAGTTGGTGTTTTGAAAGGCATGTCATTTACCGGTGGAGTTAGAGCATAGAGCCTTCTGGGCGTTATGGCAATTAAATCTAGACTTGGAGGCCGCTGGAACGAGTAGAGTCACAGAGCTGCATGAACTTGATGAGTTTTGTTACCATGCTTTTGAGAGAACAATGCTATACAAGGAAAGAATGAAGATGGTGCATGACAAAAACATTCTTGAACGAAATTTTAAACCTGGAGATGTGCTATTGCTATACAATTCGAGATTGAAGTTGTTTCCGGGCAAGTTAAAGTCAAGATGGTCAGGGCCATTCTGTGTGGTAGAGATGCATCCCACCAGAGCTATAGATATTGCATCATAAGATGGCTCTTGCATGTTTAGAGTCAACTGGAAAAGGTTGAAACATTACTTGGGCATGGATAAGAAAAACGTTGTATCGGTGACTCATTTGCAAGAGCCAAAAATGTTGAGTGAACCTTAAGTTCGATTACCTACGTCATGCCATGACATTAAATCAGGCGCTCGTTGGGAGGCAACCCAATTCATAGTTTATTTTAGCATAACTAGAATTTTATTTTTGTTTGTAGGCACTAACAAGTTTTAGTTAAGTTTTGGTATGTCAACAGTTAATGGAGCACGTTGGGAGGTCATTGCGCTTGGAGTCATGCACAACACGGACTGAAAATCACATGAGTACGCTCCAGACCTCGATGTTTACCCCGTGCCACAAACCAAAGAACAACGAACCTAGCAGCAGACCGAGCGTCACCAGGTAGTCCTCTCGCTACACAGCTCGCTCCACAAGGGATATAGCGCGCTGGACCTTGATATAGACCTTGCATCACGCGACTTATAGCATGCTTTAGCTCGCGTTGAGCCTAGCACCGCGTGACCTATAGCCCGCTTGAGCTCGTTGCATGCCTCGCGTTACAGTGTTGTCGCGAGGTCGGGGTAAGTTGTGAAATCTTTTTTTTCTTTCTTTTTAATCCCCACCGGTTTAAAACACTACACACACACAAATTCAATAAAACAAAACACTGCAAGCCCTAACCCCCCTCTCAAAACAAAAACACAAACTCCATTGAACACACACAAAAACTCCATTGCCCGCCCTATTTACCCACTCCTTCACTCTCTAGCAACATCAATTGAAGAGAAATTTCCCCTCATAAGCATCTAAGGCATGGTTTCAAACTCCTTTCTTTGTCAAATTTTGAACTGTGGAAAGTAATGAAATTGGATGACTTTTGGGGTTGTTCTTCATAGTAACAATGCGCTTGTTTGTCCTAACCCCGAAAACCCCATAGGAATGGTATTGTTGTTGTGTACAAAAGTGGTAGCATGGAATTCCCAAGCCGATTTGTGAGGGTGAGGCAGTCAGGCCCTAACCTCGAGAAGCGCGACCGGCACTCAACTAAGTGAACTCGGCCGAGCAAGCCTGTTAGATACTCTCTACCCAACTCACCCATGTTCAAGAAAAGACGTGATTTCATTAGTTATACTGTAGGAAGCTCATTCATGCAATACTAAATTGTTTCATTAGCTATTTCACCTATCAGTCTCAAAATACACATATTCTTATAGTCTGAGTGGAACAAGTGATCAAACACAACATAACTTATTGAATATTCCCAACACCCATATACAACCCACACAGTGTCTACGGAGCCTCTAAAGATACAAAAAGAGTGTAAAGAAGGTGCTAGCAACAAGGCCCCGGCTATACCTCAAAAGTACAATAATATAAACAAACCCCAGAATGAAATGGGGCTCACCGAGTCCGCTGAGATAAGGATGCAGCACCTATCTGTGATCAACATTGTCTTCTTTGGAACCACCTACATCCATTTAAAGATGCAACGCCCCCGGCAAAAGGGACGTTAGTACTGTCGAATAGTACTAGTATGAAAACTAAACTCCATTTCAATAAAATGAATAGTATCACAAGGGAAACAGTCAAGAAGCAATATGAACTGTAGGTAACACTAAAACGTCAAGTTAAAGACCACTTACATTTTCAAGTCAATTGCCACGTTATTTGGTTGGATGGTTTTATTTTTATGCTAATATACCACAGACCACAATACCATCGTGTTCTTACACGGAGTCCGATCTCGGCCCGATCGGCTAAGCCATCTCATTTGAGACATCAACCATATTCACTATTTCATTCACAATACCACTGTGGTATTACACGGAGTCCGATCTCGGCCCAATCGGCTAAGCCATCTCATTCGAGACATCAACCATTTCAATCGATCATCTTACTTCATATTTCTTTCCCGTGTTTTCAACACATTGGCACAAGTGGCTTTAATTATAAAGTCGTTCTTGGCACTTCGCCTTATTTCATAATTCAAGTTCTTTTCCGCAATCCAACATTTATTATTACCATCAATAACAACACAGGTTTCATTCAAGACTCTTGATTTCACATGTGAGCAATTTAGGAATTCAAGGCACATAGAGATTTTTCACACAATTTGGCATAACAGTCTTTAATCGAATTTGACATGAAGTCTAGGCATATTAGCACATATTCTAAGTCTCTAGCATTTCCTCAGATGACGAGATAACATGATGAAAGCATGGGAATACATATTACACATATATTTGCAAAGCAAGCACATTCGGGATAGCAATTTCTAGGATGTTCAATTTGGGACTTACATCGATTTCATGGATACCGTGGGATTCAATTCTAAGGAGAGGGGGTTTAGCCAACATACCTCAATTGAGCCTCTTAAAACTCTAAGATATTCCGGAATATTAGCAACTTCAATCTATTTTAGCAATACAATATAATTGAACCCAAAATTAGGAAAACAATCATAATTCTAGCTCATTTGAGCATTCTATCAAACACTATGTGTGTATTAAGGTTTCATGGCCCTTTTTATGAAAGAGTCCACCAACCCACCTCAAAATCGAGGAGCGCGACCGGTGCTCAACCGAGTGAACACGACCGAGCAAGCCTGTTAGATTCCTTCTACATAAACTCATACATGAATAAAGAGAATATATGTTTTCCTTAATTAAACAATAAAGTGGTCATGTCTGCAATTACCAATTTCTTACCATAAGTTTCACCATTTTTAAATTCTCAAATGGACAAGTAATACAACTACAACATAGAATAGTTTGTCTTTCCCAGCACCAATACACAACCTACACTATGTCTACGGAGCCTCTATAGGTAAAGAAGAGTACAATGATAATGCCAGCAACAAGTCCCCGGCTATACCTCAAACAGAATACACAAAGTACAAAAGATTCATGACCCCGGAATGAAGTGGGGCTCACCAAGTAGGCTGGGAAGAATGTGCACTGCTATCACTGATCAATGTCTCCTGCTGTGGAACCACCTGCATCCATTTAAAGATACAGCGCCCCCGGCAAAAGGGGCGTTAGTACCATCGAATAGTACTAGTATGAAAACTAAACACCAATTTAAGAATTTAGAAATACAAGATAATTATGATGAACAAGTGCGGCAATAGAATAATATAGATAATTGTCTCAACCATAGAAAGCTTATTAAAAGCTATCAACAATATTTATAGGATTTAAGATGAGATCCTATATAACCATCTTCACACAAAGCAGCCCCGCCGCCTCACCCGATGTATGCAGGTGGAGGTGTACGTACAATACCATAACTCTAATCAAGCAGACATGCCACCTCACCTCAATGTATGCGGGTGGAAATGCATCAACGATACCAATACCAACACAAAGCGGCTATGCCGCCTCACCCCAATGTATGCGGGTGGTGGTTCCATAACAATACCAAAATCATACACAAAGCGGTCGTACCGCCTCTCCCCAATGTAAGTAGGTGGAGGTGCAGTCCCACAATATCATAATCCCTACACAAAGAGGTCATGCCCCCTCACCCCAATATATATGCGAGTGGAGGTGTATCACAATCACAATCTCTATACCATAATCCCCACACAAAGCAATCATGCCGCCTCACCCCAATGTATGCGGGTGGAGGTGCATCACAATCACAATCTCTACACAACTTGGCATAATACCTTTCACAAAAATCACAACTAGAAATTATAACATGTGGATACGTAATCCATAGTTTGGGACACATCCTCAAGTTATAATGCAATATGATAAGAGCATTTGAAATACGAATTGAACATATATCTTCATCATAAAACTTATCGGAATACTCCATTTATAATCAATATCTCGGAACTTATAAGGATATTGGGACTTCCAATTCTTAAAGAAGAGTTTAGCCAACATACCTCAATTGAGCTTCCTTAAACTCTAAAATGTTCTGTAATTCTTACCAACTTCAATCTATTTTAGAAATATAACAAATTGAACCACAATTAGGAAGATGATCATGTTTCTAGCTCATTTGAGCATTTTATCAAACACAAGGTGTGCATAAGGTTTCAAGGTCCCTTTTATGGAGGATTCCATCATCCCACAACCCAATCTTTACACTCCTTGAAATTAGGGTTAGTTCAACAATCTTTCTACACTCCTTGATATCACATGCATGTAAAATAATCAACTCTCATGCCCAAATATTATCGTGCTAATTATCCATGTTCAGATGATTTTGAAATTAGGGTTTAGGGTGTAGAATCTTACCTCTAGGATGAAGACCTAGTGAGCTTGCCTTCTTAATCTTCCAAAACTTGAGCAAGAATTGAAGAACAAATATTGGAGAACACCTTCTCACTCTAGGGCACCCTCTCTCACTCTAAAATGTCAGATAATAGCTCAAAAATGACCCAAAGAGTGTATTTAATGAAATAGGGTCGGGTTTTAAAAACCCAAAAATGGAGCTCCGGAACAAAGTATACGATCGCATATGCGATCGTATATCGGTCGCATAGTTGGTTACAAAATAGCCAAAAGAATTGTCTGTGTATGCGGTCACTATGCGGTCCACCTAACCATTATGTGGTCGCAAAATGCACCATATAACAGCTATATGGTCGCATAGTCGACCGCATAATTGCTTCCAATTGGCCCAATTAACTGCATCACCCAACACCATGAAACATTATTTTCTTTACAAAATTTACCAGGCTTACCACTTAAGTACTTCAAAATTTTCCGAGGTGTTACACCATACCCCATTCTTTTCTATCTTTAACTCACAACCTCCCTACATACCTTAGGAACACATGCATGCAAGGTAAGCACTCACATCCCCATGAATTACCTTACTAATGGCCCATTCTAGTTACATTTTGAATTTAAGAGTTTGGGTGATAGAATATTACCTCTTAGGAAGAAGACCTAGGTGCCTCTCTTGATAATCTTCAAAGTTTTAAGTGAGAATTGAAGAGCAATTTGATGAAGACCACTTTTTCCCTCTAGGAC